GAAATAACTAAGATAGTAACAAGTGTATCCAGTTTGGAATAGTTAAAATATGATACAAACGATACATTTAAACAAATCGAATTTTACTAAAATATGTTTGCTTCTTGCAGAAGAGGGCTGTTGGTGGTTTGGCCAGTCCCTACCTACCAAACTCTCCTACTGCATAAAGTAATAGCATTGACAGTATGGCAGGTATATTATATATATGCATAGCTTACATTAAAAAAAGCATAAGGCTTTAAGTCAGAAGTATAATGCCTTTGAATAATTCAATTGACAAATTTTAACAGGTATATTTAAATTAATTGCCACTTGCCGAAGAGGGCTGGTGGTTGGGCCAATCCCTACCGACCAAACTCTCAGACTGCATATAAAGTAATTTAATAACAGCGTTTATGATAATATTTGAATTAAGAAGTACACAAATGTAATAGTGTATATCACTGAAGTCTCTCCATTACCCTTTCACAAAATCACAGTTTTGTTCAGACCTAAACTTTGATGTTAAATGTTGTTTGACCAGAATTTTGAACCTATCTAAATTGTTGGTAGCCTTATTTTTTCTGGAATTTTATTGTACTGTAAGAGAAAGATGTGGACTCTATCCGATTTATATTATGTATATAAAAGGTATATTGGCTTGATCTTGTACACCTCTTGTTGTTCCTTTCAAAACCCTCCTTCATATACGTTAGACGGTTTTCATGATTTTTAAAAAAAATATGGTTTAATCTCAGTTGAGCCACTCTATTACTTACATTCAACATATTTAATTTTTCCAATTCTGCAAAATCTAAATCCAAAATAAAACAAGACGCTACTTGAATTGTCCAACTGCTTTAAACTACAGTGATTTAAAAATTTGGCGGGCAAAGGCTCGGCGATCAATTAAAATTGACAACGGAAACAGCTGGAGAGAATATGTATCCAAGGTATCATCAAACATATCCTACAAAAAGGTATGCGATATGATTAGGAAAATAAGTGGGAAAAGGAAAAAGTCAACATCCTCCCACCTCATTAATACAAACTAAATTTGTTCGTCAAAGTCTGAAATTGCTGATGCATTTGCAAAAAAAAAAAAAGAAAACCGTCTAAATTTCAAATCACCAAACAAAGAAAGTTACAATGATCCATTTACCCTACTAGAACTTGTTGATTTGGTTCGAAAATCACAGGACTCTGCTTCAGGTCAAGATGATATTCCATATCAATTTCTCAAACACCTACCACTAAGATGTTTCTTTACATATTCAACCAAGTTTACGCTTACGCAAAGATTCCAGATTCGTGGAAGAACTCCACAATTATACATATCCCAAAACCGGGAAAGGATGCTATTGACTCAAACAACTATCGTCCTGTTTCTCTAACTAGTTGTGTATGTAAAACTTTAGAACGAATGATAAACACAAGACTGCTTTAGTTTCTTGAGACCAACGATATAATATCCCCTCTTCAAAGTGATTTTAGAAACAGAAGAGGGACAAATGACCATCTCATCAGACTCGAGACATTCATTCGAGAGGCTTTCGCCAAGAAGGAACACCTTGTTGCCGTGCTACTACATGGCAGTGTGGCATCATGAAAGATCTCCACGACCTTGGTGTACGTGGAAACCTTACCAATTTTTTTTTTTTTATCTAATTACTTATCAGATAGACACTTCAAAGTCCGTGTTGGTTCAACTTTTTCTGAAGCGTCTAAACAAGAAATGGCAGTCCCACAGGGTGGAATCCTATCAGTTACCCTGTTTGGTCTTAAAATCAATGATATAGTCAAATTTCTTCACGATAGAACGACAACTTCAACAGGGTTTAAACAAATTACTTCGGGCAGACGAAAACGGATTCAAAATCTTTAAATCCGAAACTGTGTGCAAGCATTTCTGTCAGAAACGAAAAGCACACAACGACCCAAATCTTACACTTGATGGCATTATAATTCTTGCTGTTGAACAAACCAACTTCCTCGGCCTCATTTTTGGTTCGAAACTCTCTTTCATACCACATATAAAGTATCTGAAAGATAAGTGTTCCAAGGCGCTAAACATTATACGAGTCCTTTCTAATACTGATTGGGGAGCGGACCGTGAAATGCTTTTTTCGCCTATACAGATCACGTATTCGAACAAAACTAGATTATGGTTCCATGGTACACGGTTCGGCGCGCAGTTTTTACCTGTAGATGCTAGACTCAATTCATAACCAAGGGCTTCGTCTAGCCCTTGGAGTTTTTCGAACAACACCTGTAAAAAGTCTTTACATGGAAGCGAATGAACCATCTTTTTATGACAGAAGGAAAAAAACTTGCATTACAGTTTGCAGCTCAATTAAAATCAAACCCTCAAAAACTGCTTTCGACTAAGTATTCAACCCAAAATACCAAAACATATTTATGTAAAACACAAAACTTCTGCGAACATTTGGTTTCCGAATTTCAAATTTCCTGCAATAGCTGAATTTTATACAGCTGATGTTCCACCATGGATGACACCAACATCTCAGTTTTAACTTTACATTACATGAGCGAGGGAAGTCCAGTGTAATGCCCGAAGAACACAAATCCTCCTTTCGGGAATGCATTTTGAAGTACCCCTCTCATACACAACTTTACACCGATGGTTACAAAGAAGGTGAGAGAGTGGCAGCAGCCTGCTGTTCTGCTAATTCTTGCACTTCAGTGTGACTACCAGACGGCGCCTCCGTCTTTTCTGCTGAAGCATGCACCATTGGTTTGGTTTGGCCCTCGACCATATCGATGAACACCGCGTTAAAAAGGCAATCATGTGTTCAGACTCTCTATCTGTCCTACACAGTTAACAGTTACAAGATCCTAAAAACACACTCGTACAAAACCTTACTTCTCGCATATCTCGTATATTAGAGATATCTAAAAAAATTACTTTACTATGGATTCCGAGCCATGTAGGAAATAAAGGCAACACATTCGTTGATAGAGAAGCAAAAAAATGCGTTAAATCTCGAACAAACAAATATCAAACTACCATATACAGATTTTAAACCTATTATTCGTACAGACATTCAAAATGAACGGCAGCAACGCTGGTCTCTCGAGACCAGCAACAAACTTTTTAAAGTACAACCGAAACTTAATCATCTGTTCCCAGTCGGAAAGATCGTAGAGAGGAAGTTGTCCTCTCTCGGCTCCGTACTGGGTACACATATCCTACTCATTCCTACCTTTTGAAACGAGAAGATCCACCTTCATGCCACGCATGTGACACTACATTTACAGTGGAACATATTTCAATAGAATGTTCCGATTTTAAACACATTCGTGTTAACTACTTTCGACGTCCCGGATATGAAACCTCTTTTCAGTTCCGTGGACTCAAAGGCATTATTTAACTATTTGAAAAACCTCGGTCCATTCTATAGATTCTGATGTCTTTTAACCCAACTTACCCTCTTTGACGTTATGTAATATATATATCACAAAGTCCATATCATCTATTCGTTATCTCTTTTATTATCTTAACCACCTTTTTATTTTAATTATCAACACAAATGAACATTTTCATCTGATTTTATCTTCGCTACTCACGTGTTTGCTTAATAAAATAAAATAAATAAATAAATAAATCACCATGGCCCTAAAAGACAGACCGTCGACGGGCCGTTAAACACAAACAAACAAACAAACAACTTGAAAATGTATCTGATATTATGATTGGTTTTTTGTGTGAAAAAATAATAGCTCTATAGCATCTGCATATAGCAAGGAGTTTGCACTCTGAGTGGATACTTATCTGCATGTCATTAACATATGTTAAAAATGGAAGTGGGCCTAGTATACTACCCTGGTGTACCCCACAGCTTACATCTTCAGTGTTGGAATTTGTTTTGTTAACTTGAACAAGTTGTTCTCGTTGCACGAGATGAGATTTAAACCATGTTGTAGAATCATTACCTATACATTTCAGTTTTTCATAAAGAATATCATGGTCAGCTGTATCGAATGCTTTTTGCACATTTAAAAGTACAATGTCTGTAAAAAGACCTTTAGCTGTCTGGGATTTAATATAATTAATTTACAAGATCGATGAGGTAAGAATCAGTTGAATGCGATGTTCTAAATCCTGATTGGTGTTCATATAATAAATTATTTTAAATAAGGTGGGTTCCAGTTGCTTGTATATTGCCCTCTCAAGTATTTTTGATACAATGCAGAGAATACTGACTGGTCGATAGTTTTCAGCCTTTAATCTGTCACATTTTTTAATAGAGGTTTTTCTTTTTGCCATTTTCATTCCTTCAGTACGATGACCCATATCAGAGGTCAAATTACTGTTACTTCTTTAAAGACGTTGTACATCCCCTTTTTGACAAACTGTACATGTCAGTTTACTCTTTATTGATGTACGTTGTACACACGACTTTACCCTCAGATATAGATGCATTTATCAGAAAAGCAATCGGATTTTTTGAGTAAAAGGCTCTAAACAAATTAGAATTAAGTTGTATTGTAAATTCCCTTACAGCTTGGCAGTTTTTCCACAAGTTTGGCAGCAATAGTTGTAAAATATATAAGTAAAAATAATGGGCAATAGAGAATCTATCATGGCAATTTTTGATATTTATGTTAAGTACGTACGAATTTTGCATCTGATTTTGTATCCTTTTCATAGCCATTTTTTTTTTAAACTCTTCCATAGACTTTTAAAGTTGTTCCTCTTTTCAGATATTTGTAATAAATAATCAACCTTGTCTTGATTACATTTCCTTTAAACTAAATTTCTGTAATAGCAGAAAGTTTTGTAATCTTCAGTTTTATCTGATTTTTTAAATGTAACCAAAAACATGTATCTCAAGATGGATCACCAAACCATCATTTTATCCATTCATTGGAAACTCCGATGATGCATTATATTCATTAATGGTTGTGATCTAGGACAAAACTGAATCATCTCCGATCGGGACATTTTAAAGACGGGGGGAAATTGACGGATCACCGTTTTAGCTGTACTAGAGTAGCGCCTCCTATGTTCAGAGTTTGTCACATGACAACACATCGTGTCTCTTCACTGCATCTGTCAAAATGAATATGTTGTACTGTTTTGCGATTTGTGTGGTTCTACCACTGGTCATAGCTGATACATTGAAGTTCCACCCACGAGCTCGGGGCCAAGGTAGCTCAAAAATGATGACTGGAGATCTTGCGTTCCTGGAAAAGTTACTCGTTGTAAGTAGGCCTAAGCTTATGGTGTTAGTCAATATATATACTAACGTTATGTAACATCAATAACAGTTTCTTCTTCCTGATACTGTAGCCGGGTTCAGATGCTACTCATATTTCTCATACATCACGAAGAAGCAAATATCCATTTACACAATCGTTTTATTGGAGTCGAAAGACCCTGCAATAGCACAAATAAAACATAAGCACATGTACAATACATAAAATATCTATATTGTACAATATATAGTTATGTCCTAATTCACCGATTCAAACGAACATAAATCATTTATCAATTACAACTCAACACTGAAATAGAATATCGCTGACCGCAGCATACGCTTTAATTTTTTGAATTTATTACACATAATTTCAAATTTCTCGCGATCTTGTCCCCTTTAGATGTTCCATCGACTTGGTCCATACACCGGTCTTCACTCTTGACCCGTCCCAGTACCTTTAGGTTCCCGGCCGGTCTAAGCTCCTTAAATACCTGAAACCACACAACAGGCGAACCAAACAAAAACCTCTGAATATGGGGCAAAGAAGTGATTCCAACAGTGTGGACAAGTTTAGGTTGTCAAATTTTCGGAGCAATCCGCTCCGTTTTCAAGACACAGTGAAACAACAGTTACATGTACATATATATATACATCATATTACAATAAGATGGAATTGATATACTATAATTGAAAAACCAATAGTCCCCTCGTCTAAAGACAGCCGAAGGCTTTGTGCCTGCAAATGCAATATTATAACTCCATATAGCTACCTGCATGTAGCTAAAGCTAAGAAAGCTACAGTACAGTCATCAGGGTGAGCTACATGATGTATCTATAAAGCTGCCATAGTTGGATACTATATAAGTGCCATTCTATTTTAGGCAATACATTATAGCCTAAAGCTAGCTTATATATAGCTGGTAGAAGCTATATAAGTCACTACGCTTCACATTGCATGATAATAAAAAAAATGCTAACACAATAATACAGTGTTTGTGCTAGATATAAGTGTCATTCTTAAGTTAAGCAATAGCGTGAAGCTACCTATATAGCTATCTACAGTATATGTACCTATATATAGCTATCTACAGTATATGTACCTATATATAGCTATCTACAGTATATGTACCTATATGTAGCTATCTACAGTATATGTACCTATATATAGCTAGCTAGATTTATTCTCTACTGGATAACCGTATTACTCAGCAGTGAAGCGGACGTAGAACCATGAACTCAAACAATAAGCTAAGCTAGATAATGGTACTGTTGCAATTGTCATTCTTGTGTGAGAAATAGCCTGGAGCTATACATTGTATGTATATATACCTAAATATACAGCTACATGTATCTGTATATAGCTACCAAGCTAGATATTTGTTTACATTTAATTGTCCTGTATAGTACATACATTTTTTTAGCTCACTATTCATTTTATGCTAATCTTAAGTAAGCATTGTTTAAGTCATGAAATTACTAAGCTTTTTTTTTTTTTTTTTTACTTGTCTGTCTGTCTACAAGGCTTATCCATGATAGCTACAACCATATGCAGGGAAACCGTCAAGTACATCGTACAAAGATATATATATGATATCTTAAATTTTAGAGCGTTTTCCAAAAGGTTAGGTCATAATGACATTGTTATCTGAAAAAAGAAAATGTCATAACTTTAGAAGGTTCAAAATAAAAAAGATGGAGGTATCTCCATGAAATCTTCATCTGTCTTTGTTTTTAAGAAAATCGTTATCTTCATTGTTCAAATATTTCTATTTTTGTTGCAGGGTTCTCACAAGGCCACAATGTTGAAGGACTTTGTGTTCAAGAATTGTGGCGGCAATACTGGCAGTGTCTTCAACCTGACCATTACACCTGATCCAATTAGATTCCCTGGAACTCTCACCATTTCCGCAACTGTAGATCTTAAACAGGAAATTTCCGCCCCTCTTACGGTATGAATGTGTAGACATAAAAAAAAAAATTCTCCCAAATTTTTGAATAGTAGTTTGAATCCACAATTCATTTTAACTGTACATTATTATAACGCCCGTCAATTTTGACGGAAGTATTATGGTATGGGGTTGTCCAGCCGGCTGGCCGGCGTAAACTTTTGTTTGTCCGGCATTCTCCTACATTTTTCGACCGATCTCTTTGAAACTTGGTATACATTAATTATAATCATGATATGAAGTTATGTCTCCCTTAACAGAATTTTGATTCGGCAATTTTTGCAAAAGTTATTGCCCTTTGTTCATTTCAGTATTTTAATTTTTGTCCGGAGATCTCCTCCTATATTTTTCAAAGGATCTCTTTGAAACTTGTTAATTGGTATACATTATAATCATGATATGAAGTTGTGTCTACCTTAAGAGAATTTTGATTTGACAATTTTTGCAAAAGTTAATGCCCTTTGTTCATTTCAGTATTTGATTTTTTGTCCGGAGATTTCTTCTACATTTTTTATAGCATGTCAGGTAACCACTCTTAGAATGATGCAGATCTTATTTCAATGTAAGAAAGTATATAACACTATATGGCATTCGACAGGCGTATATTGTTCCGCCCCGCGGTACGTACATTTTACTCTTGTTCAGACAAGTGACTGGTGAATTTTTAATTGGCATCATATGACAGTTAATAAATGGTTTTATCAACAATAGACTTTTATATACGATTCTTGATCATATACTCTATACATGTAGGTAATTTTTCTTTAGCTCACCTGGCCCAAAGGGACTTTAATCTGATACATGTAGTTTCTATGTCATAACAAATTGGAATCAATTAAGGTTCCTACCTTATAGCCATATATATATGTTGTTGCTGGGATGGATGAAATTGATGTATACACTTCAATGCTACCTAAATTGTATCCAGGGTCCTGTTGGTCCCTGGGTACTTGATCCTTGGGTCATAACTTGGAAAAACTTGTGTTTCTAAATTATCTAACCATATGGCTTCTGGCTAGGCATAAAGACACAAATACAACAATTCTACCTGAATTGGCTCACAGGGGTCTTGTTCCGCCCTTGGCCTGTGTCTTTGCTTATATTTCTTGTACCCCTGTACAGTAATACAATTTGTACAATATTCAGCTGATTTTAAATTCAAACAAAATCTAAGGTAAACTGATTTTGGGCCACTGGATCTCTTCTTACATGTATGGGATTGACAATACAACACATTTGACATCATGAGTAAAAGATAAAGCCATTTGTGCAATTACATCTGTGCTAATTTTAAATAAAGTAATAGCTACTTCACACCAGGCCAATAGCAGGCTGAAGACCTAGGCCTGTGGCAATCAAAAATAAAAACAAAAATAAAATCAAAATAAATTTGACAAGGATTTTGTTTTGGAATCATCAGTACAATATCAGATATGGTAAACAAGATTGATCTTTAAAGGGCATCAGTCTCTTGCTCTGTAGCGTAGGTACATGAATTATAATGTTGACCGGTCGCTCTCAAGAAATAAATAACTTGTTTATTTCAGAAAAACAAAGTGCGCAGAGGCTCACATAGATTGAAATTTTTAAGGAGTTTGTGAGTTATAAACAAGCTTTTTACTTCAAAAGTGGTCAATTTTGATCTTCGCCTGTTACCTTTGACCTTTAACCTTGACTAATTACCACCAAGATCTAACCAGGTGCATGTAGAACTTGATATAGTCATAGTGTGGTGTAAATACGTACCAAATGTGTGCAGGGTTCATGAGATATCTTAAGCTTACCAGTATGCATTTTATTAGTGTTTGGAATCAGAAGCAGAAATCATAATCGATTATCTGAAGACTTTTAATGAACGATTATCGATTTTAATCGGAACATACAAATTCTAGTAAATCTATTTAAAATATGTGTAATTACATTGTATATTATGCAGCATAATTTTGCCATATAAAATCAAAGGCTGACTTGGTATATCCATTTGATACTCTTTTATGGATTAAACCTACTACTAGAATTTGACTAAGAGTAAATCTGACAGATATCAACAGACTGCATGCAGCATTTAAACTGATTAATCGGTTATGAAATTTATCAATGAGTTAATTTGATTTGGTTGTACAATCGATTGATTTTCAATTATAATCAATTATCGGAACAACACTACATTTTACTATAGACAGCCAGCTGCTGTAGCTGCAGGCATACACAGATATACGCACTAAGTAATGATAAGTCACTAAGTGGATGTATAATTATATAAAGTGTAAGTATAATTGTTAAACAAGTGTTGAGTATATAATAACCAAGGATTGTTGATCAATTCAATGAAACGTCTTATTCTAGCCAAAGATACACTAGTACTGTAAACATGTACCTTTGATAACTGAAGGTAGTAGCATATATATATATATATATATATGTAGATAGAGGCCTACATTTTAGGAAGAAACCTGTGATCATTAAATTTGAATTAAATATGCGAAATCTAGAACATATTTTTTTTTTCACTATTCAAGGTGGTATTGGATATGAAAAAGGATTTCCGCGGAGATTGGATAGATATACCCTGTATAGCCAATGTTGGTTCCTGTACCTACTCCTCCTTGTGTTCTGACCTGGATATGGCAACATGCCCCGAAGAACTTAAAAATGCTGGAATTGATTGCAGGTGTCCATTCAAAGCAGTGAGTTATTCAATTTGTTGGATCTTTACAAATAATAAAAGTAAATTAAATTTTGTGTCATGTAGATACATAGAATTCAAGTTCAGCTCTGATTAATGGGTCACATCCACAGTAAACCCAATTACAATCTGTATATACCCAGCAATGCAAAGGTGCTTTGACCAAAATTCCACCTTCATTGTACAACTTTTTGTACAGATTATAAATGTATTATTTTCCCCATTTTATAAATCACGTATTGAAATAAGTAGACCAAATAATATTCACTAGCCTACTGCATACTTGCAAACTTTTTGAAATTTGCATGGGGGGAGATAATGTGTGCTCACAATTAAAAACATAAATAAAGGGTTTAGTTTAGCAAATTCACTGGTTGGAATTCGAAGTGCCCAATTTTAGTGTCCAAAATCTGGAGTCTCTCTTGAAAATAGGGAGAGTTGGCAAGTATGCTATACTGTTGTCAAGGTTTTTTTTCTTATCCATGTATATATATATTGAATTGGTTTTGTCATCCATGTTGATTGTGTGGTAACCATGACACTAACTGATCAAAGATAGCACTTGTCTTTTCAAAATTGCGGTTTCAAGCAGGGATTCCTTTTTCAGTTACTAGTGCAAGAAAGGCCAGACAAAAATGAAAAACATTTGGGGTCTTCTGCAGGTTTTTTTGCTTATTGATACCCCTGAAAAAAGGAGTTCGGGGCGAATAAAAGAATCGCACTGTCTGCTCGTCTTTTCATGCACCTTGTTAGTGCAACTTCTCCTAAGCCCTTTGATGGATTATTCTTTGTAACTTGACACTGTGAAAGTACATTAATGTACTTTAAGAAAGGAATTTGCGATTTGACTATATTCCTGGAGTTATATGGCCCTAGAAACTTTAAATTTCTGCCCCAGAAACCTTGTAAGCACAGCTGCTTCTTAACTGTTCGTTGCATTTTTAGCTCACCGGGTCCAAAGAACTAAGGTGAGCTTTTGCCATACCGTGACGTCTGTCGTCTGTATGTCAACAATTTCTTTAAACAAATTCTGCTTCTTAACCACTGATTGGAATTTAACTAAATTTGACTGGAAGCATCCCTAGGTAGTGATGATTCAAAATTGTACAAATGGTGTGGCTGACCCCCCAGTGTTAAGGGGTGGGGCCAAGAAAAGTAAAATCATATATATACAATTGCTGAGTATAAAAAGAAGAATGCACATTTGCTTCCAGGATGGCCCCACCCTTTGAGACATAGTCCCTGGGTCATAACTTTGAAACGGTTAAGATCCCCACCCCAAAACTATATATACAAATGCTGGGTGCAAAGAGACAAATGCAGTCATGATATTATAATAGACACTGGGGTTTGACCATGCAAACCCCTAGGGACCTTAAGTTTCTTAGTCACAGCTTGGAAACAGTTGAGATCCCCACCCTATAAAGAGATGAATGCACATACGCTTCCAGGATGGCCTTGGGGTCTGCCTCACCCTTAGAGACTTAATTCCTGGGTCATAACTTCAAAACGGTTTAGGTCCCCACCCCAAAACTATATATACAATTGTTTGGCATAAAGAGATGAATGCAGTCATGACATTAGAATTGACTCCAAGGTCTGCCCCACCCTTGCAGACTTAACCCCTGGGTCATAACTTTGAAACAGTTGATCAGATCCCGACCCCAAAACTATAAATACAAATGCTGGGCATATAGAGACGAATAGTATAATTGATCCTGGATGGGGTCTGGCCACAACGCTAGGGACATAGTTTCTGAGTCACAGCTTGAAAACAGTTGAGATCCCCACCCCATAATTATAACCATACATAAAATTGCTGAGCATGAAAAATCTAATACAGATATGCTACAAGGATTGGCTTAGGGGTCTGGCATATTCCCTTGGATCTCATTTTGAGAATATTTTGCCATGATTGCTTAGATAGCCAGGTGAGCAATACAGGCCCTCTTGGACTCTTGTTTTGAATTTGCATGCCCTTTTGGCTTTAGTCAATTTTATACATGAAAAGGCAAACAACTACCTTTATTTTCTTGTTGTTGAGTAATTATTTGTCTGCCAAAATCCGAAAAAATGTTGAATCGTGCCAGATAAAACCAAATCAATTTCAAATCTAAGTATATATATAGTGTGAAGTAAAAGGCCACATTGAAGGTTCATTGTACTGTTGTTTATGCATACTGTTACTTTGGTTATATTACAGGTACATGGGAAACGACGGATTATAAGTTTTTAGGTCACCTGAGACAAAGTCTCAAGTGACCTATTGCGATCGCCTTTTGTCCGTCGTCGTCCGTCGTGCGTCCGTAAACAATTTACATTTTCGACTTCTTCTCCAAAACCCCTGAACCAATTTCAATGAAATTTTGCAGGGACCTTCCATGGACAAAGGTCAACAAAAA